TTGCATAATTTGAAGGCAGGTAATGTGATGCCTCTGGCTTTGTTCTTTTGGCTTAGGATTTCTTTGGCCATTCGGACCCTTTTATGGTTCCATATGAATTTTAGAACAGCTTTTTTCTAATTCTATTTAAAATGGCATTGGTAGTTTGATAGAAATAGTGTTGTATCTATAGATTGCTTTGGGCAGTATGGTCATTTTAAGGATACTGAATTTTTTAATCTGTGAACATGGGATGCCTTCCTTTTTTTCTTTTATGTCATCTATGATTTCTTTCATAAGTGTTTTGTAGTTGTCCTTGCTGAGATTTCTCACCTCTTCGTTTAGAAGTGTGTGTGTGTGTGTGTGTGTGTGTGTGTGTGTGTGTGTCTACTGTAAATGGGACACTATTCTTGCTTTGGTTCTCAGCTTGAATGTATTGGTATATAGAAATGCTACTGATTTTTTTACATTGATTTTGTATCCTGAAACTTTAATGAAGTCATTTATCAGTTCTAGAAGGCTTTTGGAGGAATCTTTAGGTTTTCTAGATATAGAATCATATTGTCACAAAAAAGAAATAATCTGAATTCTTATTTTCCTATTTGGATGCCTTGCATTTATTTCTCTGACCTAATAGCTCTGTCTAGGACTTCCAGTACTATGTTAAATAGGAGTGGTAAGAGTGAGCATCCTTGTCTTGTAACAGTTCTTAAGGTGAATGCTTCCAGCTTTTGCTCATTCAGTAAAATTTTGTCTGTTGGTTTGTCATTAATGGCTCTTAATCACATTTATTGATTTGTGTATGTTGAACCAATCTTGCATCTCAGAAATTAGGCCTACTTGATTATGGTGAATTAACAATCACCACAATTTGATGTGCTGCTGATTTTGGTTTGCTGTATTTTGTTGAAGATTTTTGCTTCTATGTTAATCAGGGATATTGGCCTGTAGTTTTCTTTTTTCCTTGCATCTTTGCCAGGTTTTGGTATCAGGGTGATGCCACCTTCATAGAATAACTGGGGAGGAGTCTGTCCTCCTTGATTTTTTGAAAGAGTTTCAGTAGAACTTCTACCAGCTCTTCTTTTATGTCTGGCAGAATTTGGCTGTGAATCCATCTGGTCTGGGGCTTTTATTGGTTGGTGGGTTTTTTATTACTGATTCCATTTCAGGACGTCATATTGGTTTGTTCAGGGTTTCAAATTTCTTCCTGATTCAATCTTGGGAGGTTGTGTGTTTCCAGGAATTTATCCATTGCCTCTAGATTTTCTACTTTGTGCACACAAGTGTTCATAATAGTCTCTGAGGATCTTTTGTATTTCTGTGGGATTGGTTGTCATGTCACCTTTGTTGTTTTCTGATTGTGCTATTTGGATCCTCTCTCTTTTTTTCTTTATTAATCTAGCTAGTGGTCTATCAATCTTGTTTATCCTTTCAAATAACCAACTTTTGGTTTTCTTGATTCTTATAAAACTATCAGCCCCTTATAAAACTATCAGATCTCATGAGATAGTGTTCTTACTATATGTATGGATTTTTGGTTCTCAATTCTGTTCACTTCTGCTCCGATTTTAGTTCCTTATTTTTTTTTTTTTTTTTTTTGCTAGTTCTGGCATTAATTTGTTCTTGTTTTTTTTTTTGTTCTTCTAGGTATGATGTTAGATCACTAATTTGAGATCATTCTAAATTTTTGATGTAGGTCTTTAGTGCTATAAACTCTCCTCTTAATGTTGCTTTTGCTGCATCCCAGAGATTTTGGTATGTTGTGTCTCCATTTTCATTTATTTCAAATAATTTTTTGATTTTTGCCTTAATTTCATTGTTTACCCAAGAGTCATTCAGAAGCAAGTTGCTTAGTCTCCATGTAATTATGTGGTTTACAGAGGTCTTCTTGGTATTGATTTCTATTTTTATGCCTCTGTGGTCTGAGAGGATGGTTTAGTCTGTTCTCACACTGCTAATAAAGACATACCTGAGACTGGGTAATTTATAAAGGAAAGAGGTTTAATTAACTCATAGTTAAGCACAGCTGGGGAGGCCTCAAGGAACTTACAATCATGGAAGAAGGGGAAGCAAACATGTCCTTCTTCACAAGGTGACAGGAAGGAGGAGAATGAGTACCCAGCAAAGGGGGAAGCCCCTTACGAAACTACCAATCTCATGAGATAGTCTTCTTACTATCACAAGAACAGGACAGGGCAAACCGACTCCATGATTCAATTATCTCCACCAACATGTGGGGATTATGGGAACTACAATTCAAGATGGAAAAACAACCAGACCATATCATTCTGCCCAGGCCCCTTCCAAATCTCATTTCCTCACAATTCAAAACACAATCATGTCCTTCCAACAGTCCCACAAAGTCTTAACTCATTCTAGCATTAACTCAGAAGTCCAGTCCAAAGTCTCATCTGAGACAAGGCAAGTCCCTTCTGCCTTTAAGCCTTTGAAAACAAAAGCAAGTTAGTTACTTCCTTAATACAATGGAAGTACAGGCACTGGGTAAAAACACCCAGTCTAAATGGGAGAAATTGGCCAAAACCAAGTGGCATCAGCCCTATGCAAGTCCAAAATCCAATATGGCCGTCATTAAACCTTAAAGTTCCAAAATGATCTCTTTTGACTCCATGTCTCACATCTAGGTCACGCTAATGCAAGAGGTAGGTTCCCGTGGTCTTGGGCAGCTCTGTCCCTATGGCTTTGTGGGGTACAGCCCTCTGACCCAGCTGCTTTCACAGCTGGCACTGAGGGTCTGTGGCTTTTCCAGGTGCATGGTACAAGCTGCCAGTGAAATCTACCACTCTGGGGTTTGGGGTTTGGAGGACGATGGCTCTCTTCTCACAGCTCCACCAGGCAGTGCCCCAAAGCAGAATCCATGTGGAGGCTCTAACCCCACATTTCCTTTTCACACTGCCCTAGCAGAGGTTCTCCATGAGAGCTCTGCCCTTGCAGCAGACTTCTGCCTGGTGTTTCCATACATCCTGTGAAATCTAAGAGGAAGTTCCCAAACCTCAATTTTTGACTTCTGTTCACCCACAAGTTCAACACCACGTGGAAGCTGCCAAGCCTTGGGGCTTACACCCTCTGAAGCCACAGCCTGAGCTGTACTTTGGCCCCTTCTAGCCACAAATAGAGAGGATAGGATGCAGGGCACCAAGTCCTTAGGCTGCACACAGCATGGGGGCCCTGGGCCTGGTCCAGGAAACCATTTTTTCCTCCTAGGCCTCTGGGCCTGTGATGGGAGGGGCTCCCATGAAAATCTCTGACATGCCCTGGAGATATCTTCCCCATTGTCTTGGTGATTAACATTTGGCTCCTCATTACTCATGCAAATTTCTGCAGTGGACTTTACTTTCTCCCTAGAAAATGGGTTTTTCTTTTCTATTGTACTGTCAGGCTGCAAATTTTCCAAACTTTTATGCTCTGCTTCCTCTTGAATGCTTTGCCACTCAGAAATTTCCTTCCACCAGATACTCTAAATAATCTCTCTCAAGTTCAAAGTTCCACAAATCTCTAGGGTAGGGGCAAAATGCCACCAGTCTCTTTGCTAAAACATAACAAGAGTCACCTTTGCTCCAATTCCCAACAAGTTCCTCATCTCCATCTGAGATCGCCTTAGCCTGGACCTTTTTGTCCATATCACTATCAGGCTTTTGGTCAAAGCCATTCAACAAGTCTCTAGAAAGTTCAAAATTTTCACACATCTTCCTGTCTTCTTCTGAGTTCTCCAAACTGTTCCAACCTCTGCCCGTTACCCAGTTCCAAAGTCACTTCCACATTTTCAGTTATCTTTACAGTAGTACCCTACTATCTGTGGTACCAATTTACCATATTAGTCTCTTCTCACACTGCTAAGTAAGACATACCTGAGACTAAATAGTTTATAAAGGAAAGAAGAATAATTAATTCACAGTTCAGCATGGGTAGGGAGGCCTTAGGAAACTTAAAATCATGGCAGAAGGGAAAGCAAACATGTCCTTCTTCTTCACATGATGGCCAGAAGGAAAAGAATGAGTGCCACTGAAGTGGGAAGCCCCTTATAATACCATCAGTTCTTGTGAGAACTAACTCGCTATCACGAGAACAGGATGGGGCAAACTGTTCTCATGATTCAATTATCTCCACCTGATCCCTCACACGATACATGGGGATTATGGGAACTACAATTCAAGATATTTGGGTGGGGACATAGCCAAACCATATCAGTCAGATTACAGGTTTTTTAAATTTATTGAGACTTGCTTTATGGCCAAGCATGTGGTCAATCTTGGAGTATATTCTGTGTGCAGATGAGAAGAATGTATATTCTGTGATTGATGGGTGAAGCATTCTGCAGATGTCTATTAGGTTCATTGGTTAAGTGTCTAACTTAATTTCAGATTTTGTTAGTTTTCTGCTTTGATGGAGGATATGTCTAACTTTGTCAGTGGGGTGTTGAAGTCCCCCACTATTACTATGTGGTTGCCTGAATAGTTTCACAGATCTACAAGTATTTATTTTTATTACTCTAGGTGCTCCAGTGTTGAATGCTTATATATTTAGGATAGTTAAGTCTTCTTGTTGAACTGAACTCTTTATCAATATGTAAAGTCTTTCTTTGTCCTTTTTCACTGCTGTTGGCTTAAAGTCTGTTTTATTTGATATAAAAACAGCAACTCCTGCTCTTTTCTGTTTTCTATTTGCATGATGGATCAGAAGGGATATTTAAAATGTATTCTAAGGGTTCATGTCAGGGTAAAATGCTATGAACTAAATCATTCATTACTTCTAGTCAGAGACAGGATTAAATATATGTTGTACTTAGAGTGATTCTTGGAAAAACTCACAGGATACAGTTATATACTATATATCCTTAGGGAAAAACGAAGAGAATGGCATATATACATAATAAAACATGAAGAAAAAATCTATTCTAAACTTCAGATTTGTTTCATAAAAATCACATTAAATATGACAAGTTTTAAACATTCTTCAACCAGAAGCATTTTAAACAGATTAGAAATGAATTATTCAATAATTACCTGGAGATGCTCTTAGCTTGTTCTATTAAGCCAAGCTCTTCACTGGAAATTCCATCTTTAGTTATAAGGTCATCAATAATGTCTGCAATATCAGTCAATCCAGTCATCTGGAGTGGATCTAGTGAAACACTTCATTTGCAAATGTAATTTAAGAAATAAAACTCAGTATCTACAACTTAATTACTAAGCAAAAATAAACATATAACAAATGAACACAAAATGATAAACATATATCTACTGTTTCTTCTATCTCTGTAATTCTAGTATCTCTCAGGGAAAAAGACTAATCATCAAAAAGTAATGTCCTGGTAGATTTTCTTTAAAAAGCAAACATTTGGCCCAGAAGAAAACCTCTATAGATTCTGCCTGTTTAAATTTAATCCATATTTACATAACAAAATGTAGTAAATATAATCTATTGTATTTGAATTACTTACGCTAAAACCATAAGGGATATAACAATCTTTAATTTCTTAAAAATATCCCATACCTAATGAAAACTTATATTCCTTTAAACCACAAAGATATGTATAATGTAAAAGTTCACACACATAATGAACAACAAAATTTCCACTATCTACACCCAACTTTAAAGAAAATTGTGAATTAATTCTTAAGATACTTACCTCTCAAATAATTCATCATTGCTATTCATACCTAAATAAAAAAACATTATTAATAAAAATCTCAGGTCATTTTTTTTACTTTCAATTCTTAATCTAGTTTAGAAATTATATAACCAGAAATTAAAATACTTTTACACCTCCAAATTGGTTTATATATATATATATTTACAGCATATTTATCCTTCTCTTGAATATGTTATCTGGTAGTGAATACTGTCTACATATTTTTTGAGACCATGTCTCACTCTGTCACCCAGGCTAAGTGCAGGGACATGGTCACAACACACTACAACCTCTGACTCTCAGGCTCAAGTGAACCTCCTACCTTAACCTCCTGAATAGCTGGGATTACAGGTGTGTGCTGCAATGCTAGGCTAATATTTGTATTTTTTGCAGAGATGGGGCCTCATTATATTGCCCAGGCTGGTCTTGAACCCCTGAGCTCAAGTGATCCACCTGCCTTGGCCTCCCAAAGTGCTGGGATTACAGGCATGAACCATTGCACCCAGCCAGTATAAGATTATTACTTTTCTATCCTGAGTACTTTGTATAATATATCTCAGGAATTACAATCCTTCTTTGCTTAGTACACAGCTTACAGTACTGGAGTGCAATTTACTTTATAAAATATACATAAACAAAAAAACAAATATCTGGTGACTTAAAAGTAATATATTTTAGAAAATATCTTATTTAAATCCAGAAGCAATTTACCTATAAGAATGTGACCCAAGGCTAGGCATGGTGGCTCAGGCCTGTAATCCCAGCACTTTGGGAGACCGAGGCGGACAGATCGTGAGGTCAGGAGATCAAGACCATCCTGGCCAACATAGTGAAACCCCATCTCTACTAAAAATACAAAAATTAGCTGGTCATGGTGGCATGTGCCTGCAATCCCAGCTACCCGGGAGGCTAAGGAAGGAGAATCACCTGAACCAGGGAGTCAGAGGTTTCAGTGAGCTGAGATTGTGCCACTGCACTCCAGCCTGGATGACAAGAACAAGACTCTGTCTCAAAAAAAAAAAATGTGACCCAAAATATAATTTTTAACTCTTGTCCAGTATTAATTATATGCCATCAAAGAAAAACACTTTATTCAATCATCTATATGTTTAATTCTAAAAACAGAATATAGGAAAAAGTGTTCTGACATCTCTTCTCAAAAAAACATGCCTTAAGATTTTATTATATTGAGATAAACCAAATCTGTCCCTAAGACTTATACATTCACATGGTTTTAATATGAAATACTTGTTTTCTTGAAAACATATTGTTCTGTTTAATTTATTAATCTCCAAATCAAGGATTTTATTTTTGTTCTCAGAATATGGGCATTTGTGTGTTCTTAACAGCAACTAATTCAATTTAAGAGAGAAATACTTCACATAAATCTAAGATTAACATAATAGTAATAGCACTACCCTTTATAGCTTTTTCCTAGGTAGAAAAAGATACTAATCCTATGTACTTAGAAAAGAGTGTGTTCATTAAAGAGACACTTTCTTTCAGTATGTGAGTGGCCCCTGCCCTCCTATTCACGAAAAAAGCTTGAAGGACCCTCTTCTAATGCTGGTGGGGCTGCATATGGGGGAGTACGTGAGGTTAGTAAAGATGGTGACCTCTTGGGTTAAAGGCTGAAGTGTTAGTCATCAAAGATTGGTAAGTAACAAGTTTCCCTTTCTGCTTTTAGTAATCTAGGATTACTAAGCCATAGCCACAGTACCAACAAACGTGGGCAAAACTTGTCCAACCTGGGCAAGTTTAATACTTTTCAATCACTACTGCTAAACAAGAACACCCTTTTGAAGAATTCCAGAACACTCTGATAACAAACGCAATTTAATTAAATAGCTTCATGTTTAAAGATAAACTGTCTTATATGATAGAATTTAGTGCCTTTGGTCCCTGACAAAGATCTACCTCAATTCAGTTACTGCTAAGAAAAGCCTCAACTACTTATGATGATGGTCAAAATACAAGTTAATCAGATACAAAAGGTATGACTACTAAAATGAATCTGATTTGCTTCATCAAAGAGCATAAAAGCATTTTACCTAAATAAATAACTTTAAAAATGGTCACATAGGGAAATTCTGTTCATACTTCATTTTCTTTTTTTTTTGAGACGGAGTTTTGCTCTTGTTACCCAGGCTGGAGTGCAATGGCACAATCTCGGTTCACCGCAACCTCCGCCTCCCCGGTTCAGGCAATTCTCCTGCCTCAGCCTCCTGAGTCGCTGGGATTACAGGCATGTACCACCATGCCCAGCTGATTTTTTGTATTTTTAGTAGAGACGGGGTTTCACCATGTTGACCAGGATGGTCTCGATCTCTTGACCTTGTGACCCACCCGCCTCGGCCTCCCACAGTGCTGGGATTACAGGCTTGAGCCACCACGCCCGGCCCATACTTCATTTTCTAACCATATTTAAAACTCATCCTTTGGGAGTGCCTTTATAAACAATTTATTAAACATAACTAACCAACTTTATTCCTTGATAACCACATAATTCCAGACAGTGACAATTGGCCTAATCATTAGCCTACTTCATTTACCAGAAATGCCTTCAAATAACTTAACGGCTGTGAGCAAAAATTAAATCCATCCTCATGTGATCTTTTTTTTTCTCTACACCCGCCCTCTTCTGAGTATTCTCAATAGTGGCAAATACTAAACACTCAATAAAATCATTTTAATTTACCATCAATATCTGAGAGCAAAACTAAAAAAAAAAATTTCCAAGCCACTATCAATGATTGAACTGATATATTTACTATGTCCTACTATTCATATGACAAAATGTATTCATTAGGACTAAAGAATAGCAGTTTTAATTGCCACCTCCAAATGAAATGAAACAAAAAGTGGCACTAAATCCTTTTAAATCTCAATTTCCTCAACTGTAAAATGGGGATAATAATAGTGTCTACACCTCGTAGGTCAGGCTTAAACCACAGTCTATGCATATAAAACAGTGTTTGGCACATTGTGGAGGCTCAATAAATGATAGCTACTATTTTGTTTTCAAATTAAAATTCGAAGTTCTTATAGTTGGAAGAGTTTTAATTTCTCAATTTTTGTAAAAATCAACTACTATAGTAATTCCAGTTGCTATATATTTCATATTAATAAGTTACACCAAGAAATGATACATGATTGCAGTATGTCTTATGAAGGTGACAAGATATTATAGTTCTCCATGTGAATAGCAAAAGTTTTAACTTTCCTTCCCCCTAAAATAAATATTACAAAATGACTTCACAAACCTTTCATAACTGTATTCCCAGTAAATCACATTCAGTAACATTATAATGGAAAATAAGAGTATGTGCAAATGAAAAAATAAAGAACAATACCAGGAGAAGTAGTATTCTGGTCACTGGAAAGGCTGACAGCTGAATCAGCAGTAGAAAACACATGGGTTTTTTGACCAGAATGATTTTCCGTTATTGAGAATTCGGGTTCTGAAGTCTCCTTTTTGTCACTTTGATCTTCTTCATCCATATAAGTCAAAAAACGCACTAATCAGATTACATATAACAATTAAAAGAAAATAGTAGAGAAAAAAAAAGATCACATGGAAAAGACAGCAACTGCCAATATTTCCAATGGGCAACACAGATATTAGAAGTTTGCCACATATTATGCTAATAGCTTACTACTGAATAATGAATTAATTTAATTAAAAATTTAAAGTTCTTCTGCCATAAACAAACAATAAAATTTATTATCACCTTCATTAAATATGGCAGACTGAGCTAAAGTGGACAGGCCCTTCCATAAAAACAAAGAAATACTAAATTACAAAAAAAAAAAAAAAAAAGGTTAATACACAACCAGTCCTTCTAAACAGAGAAATTCCCCGGTGCCAGAAAAGAAAAAGGAACTCAAAGCTGACGCAGTACATAGGCAACGAGGCTGGGATAGTCTACTATGAGGAATAGAAGATGTGGTGCAATGAGGGAAAAACTGAACTACCTTCTTATACCTTAGAGTACTGAAGGACACCTTTGTCCATAAAACAGGGATAAGAAAATCTCTCCCCTAATGAAATAGCAAATAAGTTTCCTATCTGCATGGACAGCAGCTAAGAGAAAAATAAAAGTCAACTTAGAAATCAAAGTCCCCTGGCTTGCCACAAGCATGAACAGAGTCTGAATTTCTACCATCAAGATAGTACAGCAATCCCAAGTGAAGAAATGTAGACTAAAGTTTGTTCCAATTTTTTTCTACTTCAATGATAGCAAAAAGAAAATGCAAAACTACTCCAAAGACAAATACATATAATCTAGCAGAACTTCCACTAACGATAAGCCAGCCTATGATAAAAAATTACAAATCACACAAAGGAACAACCAACTATGAAAGAGAGTCAGTATGCATATTCAACAATTGATAATGTGCACATATGAAATATATCAATCAGAAAGGGTTAGTCATAAAACATGACTAAAATTATTAAACAGATAAAGCAAAGGAACAGTAATAAAAGAACAGGACAGAACATTAAAAGAGCAGATATATTTGAAAAAGAAATAAATACAACTTCTAGATATTAAATGTAGCCACCAAAATTAAAATCATAATGAACAGCTGAAACAGCAAAGACATGGCAAAAAAGAGAATTAGCAAACTAGAAGACAGATCTGAGGAAATCATCCTGAGTGCACCACTGATAGAGGGAGGAAATTATGCAGGAGAGGTTAAAAGAGACAAGGAACAGAGTGAGAAGGTCCAACATACTCTAATAGGTATTTTAGAAGATAGAAAAGAAACAATGGGGAGGAAGCAGTACTTCAAAAGATTATGGGTTGAAAAGTCCCCAAAGTTAAATCTTAAAACTAAAAAATCATTCCTACTCCAATAGAAGGTAAATAAAAAGAAATACACACATAGAATCATTATATGAAAAAAGCAAAATTAGGCAATCAGAGATAAAAGAACAGGAGTCAGACTATAACTCATAGGTAGTGTAAACTCAGCAATTAGAGATACCAGAAAATAATGGAATAATATCTTTTAATGCTAACATAACATTAATAATCATCCTAGAAGTCTGCATTCAGCTATAAGATATCGCTCAGGAATTAGAGTAAAATTAAAGCTATTTTCAAAAACTGAGAGAAGTTACCACTCACAGACTCTAAAGGAAAGAAATAATAAAGAAAGGAAGGAAGAATGAAACCAAATCCTTAAAGAAGCAACTGTTGGCAACAATAGCAGAGAAGAGAAAAGAGCAGAGTTCATCTCAGGCAATAAGAGGTGTCATGAAAGTTGTCTTGGTTTTATACGTTTGTTGCATATATATTTATATTTTAAAATGTAATTAGAAATTAGAAATTTTAAAATGAATTAATTGTGGGCAAAGAGAATGACAAACGTTGAGAAATCCTAACTAAGCACTGACTAATAAAAATAAAAGACAAGGGAAACTAAATGCAAGGGTTAAAAACGGAGTAGATCTAAAATATTAGAAAACAGTTATCAGAGAAGATGGAGGACACGAATCAGTGCTAAAAAAGTCTAAAGTCCCTATATTGTTTGGGAGGTAGATATATTCACCTTAATTTAAAAAGAAAAAAAATTTTTAGGAGACGGTGTCTCACTATGTTTCCCAGGCTGGAGTGCAGTGTCTATTCAGAGACATAATAATAACATACTACAACCTTGAATTCTGGGCTGAAGTGATCCTCCCACCTCAGCCTCCCAGGTAGCTGGGACTACAGGTACACACAACCATGCCCAACTTCATCTTAAATTTTAACTCAACTATGAATGTTAAAAATTTAAGAGTAACCATTAAAGGATTAAAAATCAAATGTATAATTTCTGAACCAATACAATAGGAAAGAGAGAATATAGAAAACTCAATCCAATAAAAGGCCAAAAAGAGGGACAAAAAGGAAAAAAACATGACAAAAAAGAAACATGAAATAAGATATTAGAAATAAGCACAAATATATCAGTAAATAAATGTACACTGATTATACTTGCTGGTTAAAAAAGATTGCCTAATTATTTAAAGGAGTGAAATCTAGTTACATGCTGGATACAACTACAACATAATCAAACAGCTTGAAAGTAAAGGATGATATCCAATTTACAAGAAATACAGAGGAGAAAGCAACATATTAAATGGCATCACAGAGATTCAATTAGCAAAACCCAGATTCTGAAAAACACTTCGGGATGAATATCTTGTTTCTTCAACAAAGAAAACTTGAAGGAAGAAAAAGGAGAGAAGGAACCCGGAAGTTAAGAGACTTACAAGCCATCAACCAATGGCCACATATAGATCTTACCTGGGTTCCAACTGTAATCATTACAAAACTATTTTTTAAAATGAGCAACTGGCAACATCTGAACCCTAATTAGATATGCAAATATATTAAAAATTTTTTAAAGAATGTCAATATTATTATGCTTATGTTTTAAAAATGGACCTGATCTTTTAGAGATACATATAAAATATTTACACATAAAATAATGTGCTGTCTGGGTTTTGCTTCAAAATAATCAAGAAAAAGGTGGGAAGAGTGGGTGGGTGTATACATAAAAAAGAGATTGGCCATGAGTTAATAATGATTAGAGTTTTTTGTTGAGTATATGAAGGTTAATTGAATGATTCTGTCGTCTATTAAAATAGAGTCGAAATTTAACATAAAATTTCAAAAAACAAAACATTATCAAAAAAGACATACCAAAACACAGGGGTAATAATATTCATGTTAAACAAAATTGACTACAAGTCAAAAAGAATTACTGGGGTTATTACTTAATGACAAAAGAGACAAAATCCCACAAGAAATATAACAGTTCTGAACTATATTCACCTTATAGCCTTAAGATGAATGTAACAGATTTACAAGAAGAAATAATTCCACAATCATTACGGGTAATTTTTAATGCAACCTTCTGAGAAATGAATGGATCAAGCTGACTAACAAATCAGAAAAAATATATAGAATCTGGACAATACAATTTAGAAGCTTGACTAAAGGGAGATATATATACATACACTACATACAACCAACAGAAAATGCTTGTTCTCTTCAAATAAATGTGGAACATATATAAAAACCGACCATATATCCTCAGCCACAAGGGATATTTTAACAAATATCTAAGAAATGATACCATCGTACACACCAGCTAATCAAAATACAATGAAAATGGAAATCAATCACGAAAACATAGTCCAAACTCAATATTTAGAACCTAAAAACTCCTTTTACAAGCTAAAGAAATCATAATGCGAACTATGAACTACAAACTATGCAGACCTGCACAACACCAAATGATGATGAATGAGTATCAACACTCTTGTTTAGGTTCATGTAGGAACATGTTCAGCCTCAACTGCATATATTGAAAAATAAGAAAAAACAAAGTTAGAAAAAAGCCAAAAAATCCCCCAAAATAGAAGAAATAATAAAGATTAATGAAAAAGAAAACTGAGAAACAATAAAGAGAATTAACAAAGACTGGCTTTTGAAAAGTCTAAACTGACAAGACTGAATGAGAAAAAGAATGCAGGTATAAACTACTACAGACACAGTAGAAAGTAAAATCAACTGCTCTAATTTCATTGTTTCAATAAGAAATGAAAAAACTTAATACCTTACCACTGCCTGGCCATTTTACCAGAACCTTAAATTTTAGCTCAGCTGATGATCACAGACAAACAGCAACCTCAGCACAAAGCTCTGTGCAATCCTCAGCACAATAAGGCAAATGGTTTGGAATCCACAAAAACTGTGCTCCAGGCCACACTTGCCCCATCCTGGCATAAAATCCAGAGGAGGTTATTGTCTTCTCAACAACAACAACAAAAAACAAACAAACAGAAAGGTCTTGAGGTGGGAGCTAATCACATTACAAAAAAATAATCCTAATCTAAAAACTGGGAAGCTGATGACTTAAGATCACACAGGAAAACTATTCCTACTTCTAGCACTCCACAAAGCAATGCCTATTTTTTCAGGTCAACCAAAGCAAGACTTCGGCCAGCCTCTGTCAGCTCCCACAAACCTTTGTCAGAAATGCTAATGGTTTTCGAAGCTAATGTTTTTTTGAATTCAGGGCCAGAAGAGAATTCAGTGTGATCCACTGGTCCAATCTGTAGGAAAAAAGCACACAACAAAACAATGGTAATACTTTGAAAATTTCAAAACATCAAACAATTTTATGTAAGTTTTAAACATTTGCACTAATGCAAAAGTGAAAGAAATGGGATTAAATCCAATATAAGCTAAATGGTAGGGATCAATAAAGCAGAGGGAATTTTTACTTAACTGTAGCTTAACTGAGTTATAACCTTTAAGAACCTCGGGAAAAATGAAATAAAATTTCATTTTATAATGATAAATTTTACAATTTTATAATTTTTATAATTTTATAAAATAAAATTTTAGAATGAAGAAGAACCTCTCGCTCTGTCACCCAGGCTGGAATGCTGTGGTGTGATCTCAGCTCACTGCAACCTCCGCCTCCTGGGTTCAAGTGATTCTTCTGCCTCAGCCACCTGAGTAGCTGGGACTACAGGCTCATGCCACCATGCCCAGCTAATTCTTTGTATTTTTAGTAGATACGTGGTTTCACTGTGTTAGCCAGGATGGTCTCCATCTCCTGACCTTGTGATTCGCCTGCCTCGGCCTCCCAAAGTGCTGGGATTACAGGTGTGATGAAGAATCTGAATTACCATATGGACAAACTCATATTAAAGATGAGAGAACAAAGCCCAGAGAGATTCAATGACTGTTTTAGTGGCATAACATAGTCAAACCAGTTCTTCAAGACTACTTACTACTCAGTGTCTGCCCTGGGTATCCCTGGGCCTCTTCCAGGCCTACAAGCTGCTTTCTTAACTTAGGCAAGTGAAGATGTTTGTATTTATGTGTACATTACAATAATGTGAGAGCATTTTTAAAAAATATACCAAACTTGTTGGGCCCAGTGGCTCACACCTGTAATCCTAGCACTTTGGGATGGTGAAGCAGGCAGATCACTTGAGGTCAGTTTGAGACCAGCCTAGCCAACATGGCAAAACCCTGTCTCTATTAAAAATTAAAAAATTAGGCAGGCATGGTGGCAACACTGTAATCCCAGCTACTCGGGAGGCTAAGGCAGAATTACTTCAACCCAGGAGGCAGCGGTTGCAGTGAGTTGAGATCACACCACTGCACTCCAGCCTGGATGAGAGACTGAGATTCCATCTCAAAAATGAAATATATAAATAAATAAGTAAATATATAAACTGTATATATATACACAAACACACATACCAAATGTTATTTCCTTCAAAATAGTCATTTTAGAAGACTAAATACCCTATTTTTCCCTGGGGGATATGTTGCAAGACCCCCAGTGAATACCTGATGTGATGGGTAGTACCAAACCTTACATATAGCTGTCCCTCAGTATCCACAGGGGGATTGGCTCCAGGACCACCACAGATACCAAAATCCACAGACACTCAAGTCCCTTATATAAAATGGTGCAGTATTTATATATAACCTATACACATTCTCCCATATACTTCAAATAATCTCTAGATTATAATATCTAATACAACGTAAATGTTAAATATTAATAGTTGTTATGACATATTGTTTAGGAGTTACGACATATTGTTTAGGAATAATGACAAGAAAAAAAGATCTGTACATGTTCAGTACAGATACAAACATCCTTTTTTGCTTTCTTAAAATATTTTCAATCCACACTTGGTTGAACTGTCAGATGCAGAACCCATGGATATGGAGGGCTGACTATATATTTTTATGCTATGCATACATACCTATGATAAAGCTTAATTTATCAATAGGCACAATAAGAGATTAACAATAGCTAACAATTTTAACAATATACTGTAATCAAAGTTATGTGAATGTGGTTTCTGTCTCTTAAAATATCTTCTTATATTATACAGAGGGTAACAGAAACCTCAGAAAATAAAACTGCAAATAAGAAGGGACTACTTAGGGACTTCAAGCAAACACTTCTGGAACCCTTCCTTTGAAATTGTCTCCCAACTTTGTACCACAATTATAAATAACTGTTCTAGTGGTGAATCTTTAGTATATAAGTGTGATTTTATTACTGCCAGAGTCAAAACAAAGACAGCAAAGACAACCATTAAGCAAATATTTATTAAATGCCTGCCATGTGTAGCAAAAGACATTGTGTAGCAAATGATATGTGTACATGTCATGTGTAGCTACAAAAGACATGTGTAGCAAAAGACATTGTCCCTACCTTCAAATCTTAAAAGGCTTGAGAGAGAAGCCCTATCAGAATTTTTGGGAGCCTTTTAAAAATACCAAGCCACCTCCACCTCCCCAACAGATTCAGCAGGGATAGAATGTATACTTTTAAAAAGCATCTGAGTGATCTTGACATGCAAAAGCAGTCCAAATGCTTAATTGTGGGTAACCCCCGCATCTAGGCACCGAGGAAGGAGAGCTAAGCAGATTCCCAGCACAATTAGTGCCTGAAGAATATTTTAGTTTATAGTGTTACTACTCAGTTATTTCCTTTTACATAATCCTTTACATATAATCATGTATTAGTTTGTAGAATTAGTGCCTGAAGAATATCTTACCACTCAGTTATTTCCCTATATATATCTTAGCTCATAGTTGGAGGAATGCCTAGAGCAGACACGGTACAGAGTATGAATTCAGGAATAAGCAGCTTACAGTCGGAGGAATATCTAGAGCAGAAATGGTGCACAGTATGATTTCAGGGAAAAACAGTTATATCAGGACAAGAATCCATGGCTCAGGTGGCAGTGTTCAGTATCGTAAAGATACCCGCTGTATGGCAGGCTTGGAGCAAGAGCCACTCCTCCTGATGAAGGAGTTGTAGTACCTTGCATCCAGTTATTGTGGAAGGCTGCCCTCAGACCGGCAATCCCACAAGCGTCCGAGGGCTTAAAACCCCTCCGGTATAATCGCGCCTTGGTGATCGTGAGCTTTATCAGCTCTTGTTACTGTGCTGGCTCAAAAGCATTATCCTATAGAAATCATTGGAAGCTGCCAGCAGGTGGTGGTAGACCCTGTCAGCTCTGTCACTGCTGTGTGACTCAAAACATCCTCCTACAGATAATCTTAGAAGTAGCGTGCCCATAGATATATTGCACGCTGCACACTCTTCACTGCGCATGGCCCACCTCCTTGCCTCAGTGACCTAATGGGGATGGACCCCTCACTGTGCACAGCCTACCTCCTTGCCTTGGTGACCTAATGGAAATGGACCCCTTGCTGCACACTGCCCACCTCCTAGCCTAGGTGACCTAATGGGGGTGGACCCCTTGTTTATTGCTCACGACCCTATCACTATTCTTAAAGATGACCTCACTCACTACCCTGCCTCCTAACCTATACCCAGTAAATACAGATGCTTCTGGACATTTAGGGCCTCGCCTGTCTCCGCTTATTGATGGCGTGGCCCCCCTGAGCCCAGCTGCACTTACTTTGCCCTTCTGTGTCCTGCCTCTATTTCTCGGATCCTGTGCCTCAGCACAACAATAGGGGACAACCCATGACCCTGTAGGGCTGTGGCCCTACACTTAATGGACTCAGATATGTAGAAATTACCTCCTGCAACTCCTGCTTTGGCTGGCTTTCTCCTGGGTCTCTTACAACTTCAGACTATTCTCAAGTCTTATTGAATCCCCATCCTTACAAGGAAATGTTTCCACAAGATTCTTTACCCTCTTCTTTTCTCCTCTATGTGCTCTCCCTGAGAAGTGCCTATTCTATCATAATTTGAACTTCCTCCTGATTACTCCAAAATCTGTATCTTAAAGCCCAGTTGTAGCTCCTCAGCTGCTTCTGAGGAATTGCCTACTTATCTCACAGCACCTAAAATGTATCATGTCCCTGACAGAAATCATTGTGCCTGCCTCCCCCAATATGCGTGCTCACACACAATTCTTCCTTAGTTTGGAAAACGGCTCCACCATTCACTCAGGCTGGAATCTGGACAACACTGTGAATTGTTGTCTTCTTCACCTTCCCACAGCTTATCAATCTCTAAGTCCTGTTAATGCCTTCCCTCCATTGTTACTGCCCAAATTCAGGCATATTGTTATTTCCTGCCTTGGATATTTAGTGTATCTCAAGCACTTATCAGTGGATCTGCTATGGAGCTAGAAGCATGCCAAGAATCATTTGTGAAGCTTGTTAATAACAGATTCCTGGGCTCTACCCAGACCTACTTAAAATCAGAATTTCAGGGAAATGGGGCCCAGGAATCCACATTCTTAACAAGTTTCCTAGTTGATACTAATGGGCAGCCAGATTTGGAACCACTGTGACCCGTGGTCTCCTTGTTCCCAGACTTATCCTTTCCAATCTGCCCTCCATACTACTGTCTGTATATCTGATCATCTCTCTTCACTGTTTAAAATTCTTCATTGGTTTCCTACTGCCTGCTTATAGGATAAAATCCCAATCGCTTGACATGGTAAACAATGCTTTCTGTTCCTCCTTGTCTCCCCTCTCCTACCTCTACTGCCAGGTATCTTGAAGTCCAGTCTCACTAACTTCTATCTCTAAGTAATGCTCATACAGCTCTCCAAACACTCTATGCCATTTGGTACCTTTCTCCTTTACTCACAATATTTTGTCAGCCCTTCCTTAATTAACTGATGAATATCAATTCATTACCAGCTCAAGAGTCACCTCTGCAAAGCCTTCACCGTTGCCACAGCTTTACTTACCCCGTCCAGTCACAACATGCCAGGCATATCTATGTGTCCTCATTACACCCAGTACATATGTATTTATTGGTGTATACATCTACCTTCTTTTATTAGATTTTATAGTCCTTGAGAGTAGGTACTATGCCTTATTTATCTTTCTATTCCCAGAACTTAGCATAGGGCCTAATATGCAGTAGATGGTCAATAAATGTTTGTTGAATAAATTAATGATTTATAAACTCTTGTGAGAGTCAGCAAGCCAGCATCAAGACTAGATTTGGGCATAAATCAAGTATCTAGCTGTAGACAATGACTACTAAACTAGCTCAGATGGCAATTTCAAAAGAGGTTCTTTGAAGTAAGGAGTGCCAGCAACTGCTTTGATGCTGAACATTTATTTGGATGTGACAGATCTAAAGATCTAAGTCTGGGTTAACAAAACAGAAAGCAGGTCAGGTAGGGTGGCTCACACCTGCAATCCCAGCACTTTGGGAAGCTGAGGTGGGAGTCTCACTTGGGCCCAGGAGTTGGAGACTGGCCTGGGCAAAATGGTAAAACCCTATCTCTACCAAAAAACAAACAAACAAAAAAAAACAGGGAAACAAACCAAATAAGCATGATAATATCATTACTTAGTATTAGTATTTTTACTTAGTAGTAGTCCTGCCTCATATCCTTTCAGTATAGTTTCACATATGCTTAATCTTAATTTTTAAGTATGTGTTAAATGTTTGGATTGAGGACATACTATAAACCTAAAAAATAACATTTTTTAAAATGTCAACATGCTAGCAATCTGGAATATCTGTAAGGTAAGTCAATAACAAAATTCTTATCCTGTAGACTATTTTGCATTTCCCAATGTTAGATTTTAAGACATTTAACTTTTTTTTTTAAGAGGCAGGGTCTCGCTCTGACACCCAGGCTACAGTGCAGTGGGTACAATGATAGCTTACTGCAGCCTTGAACTCCTGGGCTCAAGTGATCCTTCCACCTCAGCCTCCTGAGTAGCTAGGACTACAGGTACACATCACCATGCCCGACTTATTATTTTTGTGGAAATGAGGTCTCACTATGTTGCCTGGGCTGATCTCAAATTCCTGGCCTCAAGCACCCAACCATGGTCTCATTTAACCTATTATTTGTAACATAATATTTATTCTTTAATCCTCATGATATAAATTGTTCTTCCTTTTAAAAAAGGACAAAATGTGCAAAATAATTAATTTTTGAGACTTCCTATTTTAACTACCATTATATATAAACATTTATTTTTTTATGACTACCTTTTTTTTTGAGATGGAGTCTCACTCTGTTGCCAGGCTGGTGTGTAGTGGCACCATCTCAGCTCACTGCAACCTCCACTTCCTGGGTTCAAGTGACTCTCCTGCCTCAGCCTCCAGAGTAGCTGGGACTACAGGAATACATCACCACACCCAGCTAATTTTTATATTTTTAGTAGAGACAGGGTTTTGCCATGTTGGCCAGGATGGTCTCAATCTCCTGACCTTGTGATCTGCCCACCTCAGCCTCCCAAAGTGCTGGGATTACAGGTGTGAATGACTACCTTTTAAAGACATAGAAACTAGGCTGGTGTGGTGGCTCATATCTATAATCCTAGCATGTTGGGAGGCCAAGGCAAGACTGCTTGAGGCCAAGAGTTAGAGACTAGTTTGGGCAACATAGTGAGAACTTGTCTCCACAAAAAATTTTAAAAACTTAGCTGGGTGTGGTGGCGCACACCTATAGTCCCAGGTACTCGGGAGGCTGAGATGGGAGGATTGCTTGAACCTGGGATGTCGAGGCTGCAGTGAGCCACGATCGCATCACTGCACTCCAGCCTGAATAACAGAGCAAGACTATGACTCAAGAATAAAAAGAAAAAAAGATATGAAAACTTTCTAAGGAACTGATTACTAACTTACATAAAATATTTAAAACTGACAAAAACTCCAAATATAAGGACAATAATATTTGTAAAATTATAAAAATCTTTCAGAGGAAAATGATAATTACAAGTGGGGTTCCTTTAATATCACATTCTAGTTCTGTAATTCACAGTTTTTTTTTATTGGTAGGAAGCATGGGTTTACTTCCTTTTTGTGTGTGGGGGACTCTAGAAAAAGCTTTATTTAGAGCAGAAGATTAGCTGAATAGTCGTATATGTACAGAAGAAAGTAAATTTATACTTTAAAATGTCCCAATAAACAAAACTTTAAGCTCAGATGGCTTCACTGAATTCTACCAAACATTTAAGGAAAAAATAGTGCCAATTCTATAAAAAATTTTCCCAAGACATAGAAGAGAGAGTAGTATTTTCCAACTTATTTTATGATAACAGCATTATACATGGGTTTACTTCTAAAAAGCTTAAGGTAAGCTTTGTATTTGTGAGGGTGATTTTGACTCCCAAGGAACACTTGGTATTATCTAGAGACATTTTTTATTGTTACAACTAAGGAGCAGTGCAACTGAAAGCTACTGGGTAGAGACCAGAGATGCTGCCAAATATGCTACAATGCATGGGACAGTCCTCTACAACAAAGAAATATCTGGCTCAAAGGTCAATAGTGTTGAGGTTGAAAAACCCTAGCTTAAAGAAACCAAATTTCCCATTATTTTGAAATATCAAGTATCCAAAGTTATATCACACTAAAAATCATAATTCAGTTGCAAACAAAAAACTAAAAATAAAGATAGTCTACCTTATCACAATGTAGATCTAGCATTTCAGGCTTGGGGAAATCCTGCTCTATGTTTTCAGCAATGTTCTGTATTGCTAGCAGCTGCTCGTCAATTTTCTGAAGCTTAGCAGTGAGATGCTCTAGTTGGTAAGCTGTAGAGCTTGGTGCAGGGCGAGCTGCAGAGATACCTTGCAGCAGTTTCCATAACAAATAATCTGCAGAGTCTGGTTTTGTGCTCTGTCCTTTGAATTGGAACTCTGGTTCTGGCAGATCTAAATATTAATAAAAGTAAAAGCAGAATTTGTTATACAGGTATTGATCGACTTACGACCTATGCAGCTTACGACCATTCGACTTTATGACCACAATCGCTAGCCACGACTGCTCCGCTGTAGATTTTTGGAAACACTACAACATTTTGATGTGTATCAAGAATATCGCTACCGCCTGGGAGGCTGTGACGACAAAGTGCATGAACGGCATCTGGAAAAATTGTGTTAAGCGCTATGTTAATGATTTTGACGGATTTGACAGTGAACATGAACTTGAAACAATTCGGGAAAAAATAGTAAAACTCGCTAAAGACCTTTCTTTGGAGTGTGAAATGGAAGATGTCGAAGAGTTGCTAGACAAAGAATCCAGAAAACTTACAAATGAAGAGCTAATCGAACTGGAAGAAGAAAGAGTGGTGGAAGAAGAAAGAAGAGAAGCAGAGAAAGAAGAGGAGCCAGAAAGAAAGTTCACCACTAAGGGATTATCAGACAGTTTATCTTTACTGAATAAACTTCTTATACATTTCGAAGCAATGGACCCAAACATCGAACGATTTGCAAGGATTGAACGGATGGCGCACGATGTGTTTCATCCGTATCGTGAAATTTATGAAGAACAAAAGAAACATACAATTCAGACAAAGCTCACCATGTTTATGAAAAAACCAACTCCGGTAACCCCAACTGCTGCCTCAGATGACGACATCAACAATCCGCAGCCAAGCACCAGTGGCCAATAAAATGTTTCGTATATGTTTATATATTTTGATATGTTTTGCAATTGGGAAAATGTTTCCTATGGTATTTTTTACACCTGTATTTTGTATTTTTGTATGCACCTGTATTTTGTAATTTTGTATGTTTTGCAAATATTAAACCAGTTGTACTGGTAATGCAGTGTTTTACTTAAACCTGACGAATGTAAAAATAAGAAACAGAATGGTGTAGAGATGATACAAATGGCATAAAATGAACAAAGAAAATTATGATACATAACAATAATGAAAGAAAATTATGATAAAATATGACTTAAAGACTTTTATAACATCATTTCACAGTACTGTACATATAGCCTACTCAACTTACGACCAAATTGTGTTACGACCGGTCTGTCAGAACCAATCGTGGTCTTAAGTTGAGCACTAGCTATAATTAAAGAAGAGGTATTACTGATGATCTCATTTTTTATGACTTCATTTTAAACCAACACAACACTACCTTCCAAATCAGTTTTAATATACCTAAAAATTCCATTTCAGCTTCTTGACTTCTGAGATAAGAATACAGAAATTACTACAACAAAGCTCCACACATAAGGCAGCCTTAATATTACATTTATCCCTTGCTACAAACATACTTCATCAAAATGCAACTTTAATATTTTTACGACTTTTTCAAATTCTACTTGAAAATCAAAGTGCGCGAGTCAGAGTCTCGCATGAAAGCCGCCGTGGCGCAATGAAGGTGAAGGCCGGTGTGCTCGCCAGCCGAGGTGGGATCCCGAGGCCTCTCCAGTCCGCCGAGGGCGCACCACCAGCCCGTCTCGCCTGTCATGCCGGGGAGGTGGAGCACAAGTGCACGTGTTAGGACCCGAACAATGGTGAACTATGCCTGGGCAGGGTGAAGCCAGAGGAAACTCTGGTGGAGGTCTGTAGCGGTCCTGACGTGCAAATCGGTCATCCGACCTGGATATAGGGGCGAAAGACTAATCGAACGATCTAGTAGCTGGTTCCCGCCGAAGTTTCCCTCAGGATAGCTGGCGCTCTCGCAACCGTCCCACCCCCAGTATCTCAAAATAATAAAAGCTATTTACGACAAACCAACAGCCAATATCATAATGAATGGGCAAAAACTGGAAGCATTCCGCTTGAAATCTGGCACTGGACAAGGATGCCTTCTCTCACCACTCCTATTCAGTATAGTACTAGAAGTTCTAGCCAGAGCAATCAGGCAAGAAAAAGAAATAAAGGGTATTCAAATAGGAAAGGAGGAAGTCAAATTGTCTCTATTTGCAGACGACATGATTGTATATCTAGAAGACCCCATTGTCTCAGCCCCAAATCTCCTGAAGCTGATAAGCAACTTCAGCAAAGTCTCAGGATACAAAATCAATGTGCAAAAATCACATGCATTCCTATATGCCAATAACAGACTTAAAGAGAGCCAAATCAAGAACAAACTTCCATTCACAATTGCCACAAAGAGAATAAAATACCTAGGAATACAACTAACAAGGAACGTAAAGGACCTCTTCAAGGAGAACTACAAACTGCTGCTCAACGAAATAAGAGAGGACACAAACAGATGGAGAAACATTCCATGTTCATGGTTAGGAAGAATCAATATAGTGAAAATGGCCATACTGCCCAAAGTAATTTACAGATTCAATGCTATCCCATTCAAGCTACCAATGACCTTCTTCACAGAACTGGAAAAAACACCTTAAACTTCATATGGAACCAAAAGAGAGCCCACATAGCCAAGTCAATTCTAAGCAAAAAGAACAAAGCGGGAGGCATCACACTACCAGACTTCAAACTATACTACAAGGCTACAGTAATCAAAATAGCATGGTACTGGTGCCAAAACAGAGATATAGACCAATGGAACAGAACAGAGGTCTCGGAGGCAACACAACATATCTACAACCATCTGATCTTTGACAAACCAGACAAAAATAAGCAATGGGGAAAGGATTCCCTGTTTAATAAATGGTGTTGGGAAAACTGGCTAGCCATGTGCAGAAAGCAGAAACTGGACCCCTTCCTGACACCTTACATTAAAATTAACTCCAGATGGATTAAAGACTTCAACATAAGACCTAACACCATAAAAACCCTAGAAGAAAATCTAGGCAAAACCATTCAGGACATAGGCATAGGCAAGGACTTCATGACCAAAACACCAAAAGCATTGCCAACAAAAGCCAAAATAGACAAATGGGACCTAATCAAACTCCACAGCTTCTGCACAGCAAAAGAAACAGTCATTAGAGTGAATCGGCAACCAACAGAATGGGAAAAAATTTTTTCTGTTTACCCATCTGACAAAGGGCTGATATCCAGAATTTACAAAGAACTAAAACAGATTTACAAGAAAAAAACTAACAAGCCCATTCAAAAGTGGGCAAAGGATATGAACCAATACTTTACAAAAGAAGACATTCACGAGGCCAACAAACATATGAAAAAATGCTCATCATCACTGGTCATCAGAGAAATGCAAATCAAAGCTACACTGAGATACCATCTCACGCCAGTTAGAATGGCGATCATTAAAAAATCTGGAGACAACAGATGCTGGACAGGATGTGGAGAAATAGGAACAATTTTACACTGTTGGTGGGAGTGTAAATTAGTTCAACCATTGTGGAAGACAGTGTGGTGATTCCTCAAGGACCTAGAAATAGAAATTCCATTTGACCCAGCAATCCCATTACTGGGTATATATCCACAGGATTATAAATCGTTCTACTATAAGGACACGTGCACACGAATGTTCATTGCAGCACTGTTTACAATAGCAAAGACATGGAGCCAACCCAAATGCCCATCGATGATGGACTGGACAGAGAAAATGTGGCACCTATACGCCATGGAATATTATGCAGCCATCAAAAATGATGAGTTTGTGTCCTTTGTAGGGACATGGATGAACCTGGAAACCATCATTCTCAGCAAACTGACAGAAGAGCAGAAGATCAAACACCGCATGTTCTCACTCATAGGCGGGTGTTGAACAAAGAGAACACATGGACACAGGGAGGGGAGCACTACACACTGGGGTCAGTTGGGGGGAAATAGGGGAGGGACGGTGGGGAGTGGGGAGCTGGGGAGAGATAGCAAGGGGAGAGATGCCAGAGGTAGGTGATGGGGAGGAAGGCAGCAAATCACACTGCCACATGTGTATCTATGCAACAATCTTGCATGTTCTTCACATGTACCCCAAAACCTAAAATGCAATAAAATAATTGGAAAAAAAAAAAAAAAGAAAAGAAAATCAAAAGCCACACACATTAATAGATGGGCCTAATGCTGGCTATTACTGACTTTATATGGGCTCTCAGGCAAATGTTAAACCTCCTAAGACAAAATCAAAGCCAATGACTCTGCTTTTTCTTAAACTCAGTTGATTCTTCTCCCACATTTGCAACACCTCTTTTTTTATTTTTATTTTTTTTTAAATGAGACAGAGCCTCGCTCAGTCACCCAGGCTATTCTCAAACTACTGGGCTCAAACAATCCTCCCACCTCAGTCTACCAATGTACTGGAATTACCACTATGCCTGGTCTGCAACACCTTTTTTAAATGCATTCTTCTTATGTCTGGGTCTCCTCCTCCTTGTATTCCTCATACTTCTTAGTCTTTTCTGCCATCCATTCCTTTTACCCATCAGTACTTCTGGGCTGCCAGCCTCACAACTCACTTCTCTGCTCACTCTTCCCACTTTCTCCGAGTTATGTCATTGATGAAAGGTGACTCCCAAATCCATATGGCACTCTCTCTGAGCTTCAGCTCCTTATATCCTGGACATCCCAGTTACGTTGTCCCGTAAGTGTATCAAAATTAATTCATTGCTTCTGCCCCTCCAAATTGCTCCCTCTTCCTTGCTCCACAGCTCAGCAAATAGCACTACCATTCAGTTTCCCAAGCCAGCGACCAGAAGTCACTCGAGGCTCCTCTCTTTCCTTCGGATCCAAATTCACAAAAATTGATGGTTCTACCTGCTACACACCAACATTCTGAATATCATTACTTGGCTGAAGCTTTCACAAAAATAGACTCCAAATCATATCCCCATCTGTAATTTATCTCTATGCTATCTAGTCCATCTTCCACACCAGACCCAGAGAGACCTTTTAAAAACATAAATCATGTTCCTTTTCTGTCCAAAACTCCAGTATGTCTTCAATGCCTTCACCTTAAAAGTTCAAATGCCTCCCTATGACAGATAATGGGACATATAATCTTTCCTCTACCTCTCCAGCTTCATCTCTTAC